TCTCTCTCTCTCTCTCTCTCTCTCTCTCTCTCTCTCTCTCTCTCTCTTCTTTCATCTGACTTTCAAATTTGCAGATGATGAGAGATTTTATTCATGTGTAAATCTCTCAGAACACTGCGCCCGTTCGAACAAAGTAAATAGTGAGGGCCCCGTCAATTTCTTCAGTGTGTGCTGATGAAAATGTTGGCTGTCAGACCTGCTTTATTTTTGTTGCCCTACTTAGGCCCTTTGCGTAAACAAACGTCAATTCTGGCCGTAAAACCAAAGCCAAGCATCAATATTTCACAGATGAATCCTCTCCGGGTCTCCTGCTGGTGATCAGATATAACCGGCCTCAATCAGCCAAACAAGTGAACATGCCACACATACCATTTATTCTTTATATAAAAAGAAAAACAAGAAAGTGAGGTGACCAGTTTAGAAGAGACGAGACAGACAGGAGAGCAGGCGATGGTAGAGGTGTGTGTGTGTTGGAGGGGAGTTTGGTTGCAGCGGTGGGAAGAGAGGGATGGGGCTCCACCCCCCCGGGTTATAGACTGACACCTGTTCTCCACTTTGTGTCAGTGAGAGCCAGCTCTGCTCTCCATCTGGGTTCTAAATCAGAGCGCAGGGCTCTACCTGCCACCTGGACAGGACACAAACAAGGAAGACGGCCTTCGCAGGGTGGTGGAGATCATCGAATCAGGGACTAGAAAACAAACACGGCTTCTTAAACGGATCACAGCAGCAGCGGAGATAATCTCACAGAAGATATCTTGTTTTTTTTTTTATGCATCTGTTTTTCTGGAGAATGTAGACCTTTCAAGGATAAGCAAAGGACTTTAGGTGAAATAAAAAAGAATCAAGGTGACAGCCAAAACCAGGCATCATGTCCACCAACAGTCAGGACAGAGACCCCGATATCGAGCTTTTTGTCAAGGTAAGACAGAGAATTGACTATGCTTACGGTATTTTAGTTTTATTGTAAGATAGAGACAATATATGAGCAGGACTTCAGTGCATGGCTGTGTGTTGTGGAAAGCTTGTGTAACTCAATAGTGGAGGTAGAGTTACAGTGGCACTGGCACTCTATGTTGACCCAGGATTGTTGTGACAGTGATACTGAAGCTGCTTGCTGATAGTGGGCCGTTACTCCATATTACACTTTAAAAGGCAGTGCATGACAGGCTAATGCTCCTCAGCAATTGAATCAGCCACTCTGCTCTTTTATATTCAAGTATCCCTGACATTTTATTTTTTTTGTCGCTGATCAATAGACGCTCCAGATTATCTCCCGAAATAGAGCAAACATGTATACGAGTGCCGGTTTGGAAGTGCCGCCCTTCGGTAAACACAGCAGTGTTGTTTCGTTCTCCACCACAAGATGCACTGGAGGCCCAGTGGGAGATGTTAGAGGCAGATGAAAAATACCTGAGGCAGGTGAGGTGGAGGGAAGCAGGTGGAGGAGCTCATTGCTGGTGTGCTGCCTGGACGCACTGACCTGATTAGCTGGTGCGGAGGCCGCTCTCTGCCAAACCACCTCCTAGGAAACCGGTCGGCTGGGAAGTCTGCCGACACCTCGGCTTGTACTGCCATTAACAACGTTGTTTCAGTACATCAAACTCTTATTTCTAGAAAGGGAAACGCTGTAACTACAGATAATTCGTGTTCTGTCTTACAGGTAGAAAGCTGTCACTCTTGGCAGACTCATAGCTTTCATGAAGTGCTTTAGAAAAGAAAATGGCAAGATGATTACGCTGAAGCTGATCTACCACCTGCACCCTAACCCAGCCATAGTAAAGTATACATGTATGTGTATGCACTGGATGGATCATGTGATAACATTGCCTCCAGTGGACCCCTCTCATCGTCGGCTCCCGCTCCTTGTGCCCACAGGCACAGTTGTGTGTGACAGCTTTTGTCCCCCGGTGTTCTAGATGTCGATTGGCCATTATCAGCGGCTGTGTATTGTGTTACCGCAGAGCCGAGCCATAACAATGCACGGACAGGAGCGTCACATGCGCCCAGGCTGCATGACAGCCCTGGGCATCAATGGCTGGTTGTGCATACAGTTGGCTCAGCTACTTTTAGACTGAGAGCTGTGTGTTCTGGTGTTTGCGAGGAGCAGTGTAGGCTGCCGCTGGGCACATGAACTCAACGGCCAAATTGTTTGTGTTGTTTATCTTTTATCACTGGTGCTGCTTCCAAGTCAATCATTTAATGTCATTTGTGTTGTTACCCACATCAAATATAGAAATTACAGCACTGCACATGAATAAATTCTTGTTTCTTGAATAGTTTAATTTCCGAATCATTGATGTATTAAACGAAGGAAACTTTCTATGCAGGCAGATCTCTGTTGAGCTCGAGGTCATTGCACTTATTTTGCAGCGTGTTGTGGACCTCACTGTGACTCCAGACCTACAGGTCTGACCCTGCAGTCGGTGCCCCGTCGGCCAGTGAACCAGGTGATGGAATCACTATGTATAATTCAGCTGGGCCATGCGGGTCAGGTGTCACTGCTGATGCTCTTCTGTGTATCCATACATACACGATCTCGCCACATGTTTCATGAGTAAACGACGGAGAGGCAACCTTTTGAATCCTATTGTGTTATTTGCACGCTTTATTTAAAGGATTTAAACATTCTGGATTCATGGATGAACTTATTTCGAAACCAATTCGGACAAATATGTTGTAGTCAAGACCCCCTAAATCAAGACCCAGTGGACTTGCAGACTGGAAGAGACGGGGATTGAATCGCCAATCTTTCAATTGGAAGGTGACCTGCTCTACCTCTAAGCCACGGCTGTTCCAAGAGCAAGATGAAGACTTTGAGGAGTTGAGACCACGTCAGTTTAGTGATATCCCCACAGTTGCAGTCCTGAAATAAAAACCCCTTTGTCTTGGCCGATTCCGAGACCTTCATAAAGTGATCTTGAGACCAGTCTCGAGACCAAGGCAGATCTCAAGTACTACAATGCTGGACACCAGTATACTCACCATATTGTCAGGATCCCTGTCAGACCAGACACCTCCCATGGCCACACAGCTGCAGCCACTCCAGCCGATTACCTCCTGCAGGCTGACACACCAGACTCAGGTCCCACTAACGCTTCCCCTGGCACTATATAAACTCTGGTCCTGCAGTCTGGGGTTGTCAGGTCATACCGTCTTTCAACCCCTTCAACCCCGTTGCATCTTCGGCCTCGAGCGCCTGCCTCCGGTGTCCGTCGGTCCGGGAATCCCCCGTGCCCTCCTTTGTGTTTACGGACTACTCACCGCCGCTCTGCCCTCCGTGGTGTTAAGGGACTACTCACGCCGTCAAGCTGCCAGCTCTCCGGTGTCGAGCCACGGGACATCACGCCATCAAGCTACCAGCCCTCCGGTGTCGAGCCACGGGACTCACACCGTCGATCTGCCTACTCTCTGGTGTCGAGCCACGGGACATCACGCCGTCAAGCTGCCAGCCCTCCGGTGTTGAGCCACGGGACTCACACCGTCGATCTGCCTACTCTCTGGTGTCGGACCACAGGCTCCACACCTTCCTGTCATCTTTATTCAGGCTAAATAAAACCTGTTTATACCAACTTCTGTCTCCTGTGGTCTTGCTATTGGGTCCTAACCGTGAACTCCCGTGACACATATAGTACACATAAAACAATACTGAGTGTACTTTTGGTTTGACTCTGTAGTTTGTATTTAAGGGGATTTAAGGGTGACGTATTTATGTGCGTTTGCGTAGTGTTTCTCCTGAACGACCTTACTGGTCAAATATAAAGCAAAGATAACAATCAGTTAAATTCAATATGTATTTAATTGTTAGTAGCAAGGTTGTCAACCTTGTGACCAACGACCGAAAGCTGGTGTAGCATGTAGGGGGAACTACATTCATTATTGATTCATTTGATGATTAGTCTCTCGATTAAATAGTCAATGAACGGATCCTAAAACGGTGCAAAAAAATGTCCGTCACGGTTTCCTTGTCATCAGATGTCTTGTTTTGTCCAAACCAACACTCCCAAATCCAAGAAGAACCTATTTACTACAATGTAATGTAACGTTTTAGAGCCTGGCACCATCAAATGATTATTTTTCTGTTCGTCACCAAATCGATGCAGCTCTGATGTCAGAAATGTGCTGACTCAACTCTTTGGCTATGTTTCCACTATGAGTGACTTGTCTGACTTGTTTTCTGTCGTCTTGTTTGCGTGCAGGCCGGCAACGACGGGGAGAGCATCGGCAACTGTCCCTTCTCTCAGCGCCTCTTCATGATCCTCTGGCTCAAAGGAGTCGTGTTCAACGTTACCACCGTCGACCTCAAAAGGTCAGGATGTGTTAGGATGCATGGAACGCAAGCTTCCAGCGAAGACAAAACACCACACACCAGTTCTATCTCTGTGTTTCTCTCTGCAGGAAGCCGGCAGATCTGCACAACCTGGCTCCGGGGACACACCCTCCTTTCCTGACCTTTAACGGAGAAGTGAAGACCGACATCAACAAGATCGAGGAGTTCCTGGAGGAAACGCTCTGTCCTCCAAAGTAATTCAGCTGGAAGGTTTTACAGGTCGTGGTTTACGGTATCGCTGACTACACACACGCTGATTTATTTCACTTCAGCGACACTGCTGAAAGGACAGGAAACGTTTTAAGCCCAATAAAAGTGAATTTGTGCTGTATTTGATGCAGGCCGACGTTAACTGATATCGCTCTGTTGTTGTTTATGGCTGTGGTAAATCTTTTGTGAATGAGTATGTATGTGTCTCAAACTGTAACTATAAGTGCTTTATTGTGCTGCAGCTTTTGTGTTATTTACGAAAAATGGGTTTTTGTTATTTTCATTGCCATGAAGAAGAGAAAAAAAATGAGCCAATGTGCGAGCAGTTGCAGAGAAAACCGTCAGATCAACTTAATCTTTCTGTTACTGCCTGTAAAGTTTCTTGCATTATAAATGGGCCTTAGTGTGAGAGCGCTTAAGGGGCGGCCGGCCAACTCGGTGTGTGTGTAACATGCTTATAGTCTGAGCTGAGCCCCAGTCCAGGTGTTAATGCAATCCAGATGGTTTTGTTCTGCCTGCGTCTCTGACTGCCCCCCGTCCCCCCCCCCCCCCCCCCCCCCCGTCTGCTCAGGTATCCCAAACTAGCCGCCAAGCAGAGGGAGTCGAACACAGCTGGAAACGACATCTTCGCCAAGTTCTCAGCCTACATCAAGAACACCAAACCAGAGGCCAACGCCGGTGGGCTGCTCATTTTGTGCCATTTACACTCACAGACGCACACAGTCACATGCAACAGAAAAAAGGAATGTATGACAGCTGCTATTAAATTCCTCCACTAGGTAGTAGCAGAGTCCAGTATTTGAGACTTTTTGCTGTGCTGCCACCTAGTGAGATTATCACCACACACACACACACACACACACACACACACACACACACAGGTATTGTACTTATGTGTGTGACTTGTGTGCCTAGTTCTAGAGAAAGGTTTGACCAAGGCCCTGAAGAAGCTGGATGTCTACCTGAACAGCACCTTGCCGGATGAGATCGATGCCGACAGCATGGAGGAGGAGAAGGGCTCCAACCGATGCTTCCTCGATGGCAGCGAGCTCACTCTTGCAGACTGCAACCTGCTGCCTAAACTGCACATAGTCGAGGTAAAGACGGGAGTGTTGGTGATCCCCGATACCTCTTGGGCCACCTGCAGGTCTACAACCAGATACCAGCTCAACTAATGACATTCCCATCAGCCTCTGTCAGCTGCACTTTGCGTTTTGGCGCTAATTAGCAAAACGGTAGCATGCTGGGAAACATTGCGCAATTAAAAATAAGATGTATATATATTATTGCACATACACTGATGGTACACTTATAAGACTGGATTTGAAATATCTGACAAAATAAATCAAGTCTGTCTCCAGTTCACATTGAAGTGACAGCTTTTCCTTCTCTCACAGGTGGTTGCTAAGAAGTACCGCAACTACGACATCCCCTCTGACATGTCGGGGGTGTGGCGGTACCTGAAGAATGCCTACACGCGCGATGAATTCACTAACACCTGCGCCGCTGACTCCGAGATCGAGACCGCCTACAAGGACGTGGCGAGGAGATTGGCCAAGTAACTCGCCAACCGACCCGAGCTGAAACAAGATAAACTAGTAACACAACACAAAAAAGATACACACATGTGACTGTCCTTTTTGAGTCTTCTTTCGTGGCATTTTCAGGAACCAGGAATATTTTTTGTCGTGTCAGACGTTGCAGATGTCTGTGTTTTAGGGTGGCTGACAGGCCTGCTGCTTTACAGCTCGATACGGTGTTGCAATGGCAGAAACAGACGCGCCAAAGCCGAAGTGGAGCGGACGATAAATCAGGCACATTTTAACGCAATTCACAGGTTTTCAGACCACATTCAAAGTTCGCTGCTGTGAAACGTCTGACACGACACTCTCACTCAAACGATTGTGTCAGTCTGTTATTTATTTCTCACAACACAAAGCTTTTCTTTCATACGTCCTCCAACGGTCCGCACGGCCAAACATTTTTACAAGCTGCTGATGTCAGGGTCGTTCTCTTTATTTATTCCTAAACCCACAGAAGTCTAGTCTGACTCCAGTGTTTATTATCACGCTTTGGCTCCCGGGGGGGAGACACCTTGATCCATCTATGATTGATGATTGGCGCTAATTGTTTTCGCTTAATGTGCCTGTTGCGATCCGCAGATTTCATTTTGATTGCCACTACTGTAGGTGTGGCTGTATTTGTTTTGTTTCCTTGAGCTTGTACGCATCTTGAGCTTCACTCCTGCTCCTCAAAGATTGATTTGAAAGAAAGATTGATTTTAATAGGTAAAGATGATTTAGCTGATGAGGATATTGATAGCTTAGAACAAAGCTTGTTTCTGATTCGTTTGCATGCATCAATCTGTTTAAAATTGCAATATTTAAGAGCTTATTTTTAAGACATGAAAAACACTCAACTAATGTGCCTTTATTTGGAATAATCAAAAATCCATGCCAATGTCACTGACGGACTCATTCTGATAAAAAAGAAAATGTATTGCAGCCAGAGCATTTGTTCTGCCTCTAGCTATTAGTGTTCAGTACAGGTATTGATTTTGTCTGAAGTTACACATGATATTATGAACGGAGAGAGTATTTATTTTGCGGCCCCAATCAGGCCTGATTAGGTAGAGCAATTAGTGCTGCGATGGGAAGCGCCTTCCGGGGCCAGGTCGACTACGGTCAGGAGCCCTGCCCTCCAGCCCCTCATCAAAGAGACATTTCCTCCGCTCTGAGGAGCCTATCAACATCCACGGGGCTAAAGTTCAAAAAGTCTCATTGTCTACGCAGTGGTGGATGGAAATTTGTCTTGGGGCTTATCGTCTTTGGCCCGGCGTCAGGCTGCAACTACAGCAAGACTTCCTTGAAGAGCCTTGTGTGGTTTGGACAAAACATACAATATGAAATCGGAGCATGATGACTGAGAGGCCTTGCTCATTGCGAAGCTCCACAAATAAAATAATATTTTCACAGATCTGCTTCTGCGTTTTCTTTTTTTCACGTTCCCAGCTAGGTGATCAATCAACACTGATACATTGCAGGCCATCGTGAAGCGATAGCGAAGGAGCCGGTGGAGACCTGGATCGCGGTCCTGAAAAGGGTTAAGTGTGCCTGACTGAGTTGATCAAATCCAGTGGTGCAGGTCTGGTTCTCCATCCATAGCAGAGAGAGAGAAGGAAGGATAGAGGGAGGGAGAGAGAGAGAGAGTGATGACCGTTGACAGGCTTAAATAGAGGCTTCCATGCCAGGGATCAAACGCCATCCCTCTTCTCCACTCTCTCATTAAGACGGAAAACCCGAGCGCCGCCATCCGATCCGTCTCCATTTTTCCTCAAAGGAGTCTAACTTGAAAGATCTGCGCCTGTCGGATTTACAATGGTGGGCGAGTGGTGTTTACTGAGACGCGGCCTTGCCAGAAACAACAGTCAAAGAAAAATAAATGGAGCCTGCCTAGTGTTTCCACAGGAGTAAGGAAATATGGAGCGAGACTTGTGCCTTGCTGTTTGGTAATTAGTACCTAAACATCCCTGTCCTTGGATCCCATCGCTCACATCCAACATTTCTGCGAGCTGGATAATATACAGTGGAGCATTAACGTCAAACACGTCTGGTCGTGGGGCCTGGCACGCCACATTAATCTGTTATTACACTCCCAGTGGATCTACCAGTCGCTGGGCTTGGCTTGGCCACCGTAGCGCGGAGAGTCCATATAGGCTGACGGGGGACTCACACACACGGCGCACATTTATAGCCAGGTTTACTAAACCTTTTCAGCTCAGGCATAAATTGTCTAAATTGAGCCTCGCTTTTGAGACCTGAGGTGATTAAAACAAACTGGTGTGCGTTTGGCGGCGTGAGGACCCACCTGAAACAGACCTGTGATCCAATTAAAGGCCCATAGTTAAAGAAATACTGCATACGGAGACCTCGGCGCTCCTTTAGCCTCTGCATATTGTACCCAGGAGAAGGACACATGTGTTTCAGCCCGAGGTGAAGTTTGGTTTTACCTCACACTGTACTGCTATTTCCAGTAGAAACCCTGTGTTATCCTTTAAATGCAAGGGCAGCAGAGAGGGCTCCATTTGTTTTGTAATCTCATACAATATCCTGTTCTGCATCTTTTTAGAATGATCGTTCATAGACGAGAGCTAACACCAGTTTGTGCCTTTCCTGTGTTATCATTACATTCGCTAACCATCTGTTCCTCTGAATGAATGCCTCTGAAGGTTGTTTAACAACACGTACTGCTGTACTGAAAGTATTTCCAGAACCCCTCAAAGAGTCTTTCAATCATCTGGATGAAAAAATGATTATGTGCGTTGCACAAAAAAAGGAGATTTTTTTTTACTTGTTCCTCTTTTATCGCAATAGAAACAAAGATGGTGGCCGGAAATGACTTATGTCCTTGCTCAGTTTATGTGACGTGCACAAAAATGTAAGTATTTTTTCATCAGCTATAATTCTCTCTTTCTATTATTTTATATTTTCATTTACAAATTTAATATTTTTCTTGCGTCGTACAAAACGATAAAAGGACCATTCTGGCTACCTGAGATTCAACTCTGTTTACTGAAATACGCTGTCCGATAGCTAACTCTCGGTGTTGGGTAACGACCGACATGTGACTTCAACGTCAACCTTTTGAGAAGGTGACGGCTGACGTCCCGCAGGCCTGAGAGGGAAGTATCTAATCAGAGCACGGCCAACAACGTCAGGAACCATGTCATAACAGGAGATCGTGTTTAAAAGAGCAGACGGGGCTGCGGAAGACGAGTCCTCATGTCTTCCACTTGGAGACAGAGAGCATCTAAGAGAGTATCAGATTCTCAGCAGGTCCCTCACAACCCTCCTCCGCTCGCCTACCCTTGGAGGTTTGAGTGACTTGTGGTGAGGCATGATGGGGATTATTGATCTGCCCGGCGCGCGCCTGCGGTTTGGGCGTAAGACTGACGACCTCACCAGAGAGAGTTCTTGGCACACGCCGGTCCCTGTCTTAGATCAGAGGTAGGGCTGCGTGGAGGCTGGGACGGGCCTGTCCCGGCCTGAAGCGTGGCCCGTTTGAGCTCGGAGCCAGGTGATCAAGACATTTTACTGTGTATTTAAAATAATCAGGCCCCAAATTTAGGCAGAAGATAACAATAAACACATCTGATTGGCTTTTTTGGAGAGGAGTAGTTGAAATGAGTAACCATGTCTGCAGACAGCAGAGCCCTGGAGGTATTTACGCTGTTGGTTAGATTTACTGGTTAGAGGTTTCGGTTCCAGTTGTTGGACCACATGAAATAACCCATGGTCATTGGAGAAGGATGTGGACACCGTGCTAATTATGTGAGATGATGATGTCAGGTATTGATACCTATAAGTGAGCCAGAACTTCCCCCCCTCCACGCTGTGTTCCAATGTATATAACCGCACTGTGGCGACCACACTCGCTTATACGACCACACTCACATCCACATGTCGGACATGTCTGGATCCTCAGCAGCCCTCACACATCCGCACCGTCGGGCGGGCGCTCACTTTATCATTCATAGTTGTAAATAACCGCTTCGCCTGCAGGAAACACGCAGCATTTTATTTTCCAGTCATAAACCATAAAACCTGCCTCTAACACGAGTTATGATCCTTGGAGACTGAGGGGGGGGGGGTTGAATGTCTAAAGCAGAACCAGACATGATGGCGGGCACCCCCCCCCCCCCCACCCCCCTCCGTTTAGCCTGGCATCCCCCGATGGCTACAGTCATGTGGCGGACTTTCCAAAAAAAGCCCCAATGTGATCTAAACGCCACCAGGGTTGTGTGACATTCGGCGGTGAACTGGATCTCGCTGCTCTGAATTACCAGTCCATTAGTTCTCAATTAACACTCGCATGATAAAATTTGAACAGCCCTTCATCTGACAGGAAGAACACATAGGGCTCCTTCATGCTTGAGTTTCAGGCAAAGATGGGGCCCCTGCCCGAAATTTTTGAAATTTTATTGCCTGGCTGAAACCTATGGAAAAAGGCCTGTTTTGCGTGAATATTTTGGCACCGAGCGGAGGTTTATCCTGTCTTATGTTCTGTACACTCAGTCGTGTTGCAACAGTTTGCCATTTTTTTGACAGTCGAGATGGTGTATAATTTGAAACACTGACATGAAGTGGAGGCCTTGGACAAAGAGGCCTTTTGTTTACTGTGTTTGGTCGCTGTCCATGGTCCTGACACTCGCGTTTTCACAGTAATTCCTTTTTTTTTCTTTCAGGCGGTGTGGCCGCGTATCAGATTGCATAATCTGAACTGGCAAAGCTCATTAAATGTAGGCTTTTTATGTTTCATAAGTGCACTTTTCCCTGAGTTGCGTTTCACTTAGCGGCAAATGGTTTCGTGGAATCAAATGTTTCCAAAGTGGGCTGAAGACACGGGCGCGCTTTAATCTAGTGATGAATGGATCCTGGTGCTGGATGTCGGGCCGCCTTACAACCTACCATGTCTGTGAGGGTTCTGGGCTGCTGCCTGGACGCAGAGCGCCTGCCAAATGATCATTTCTTTTATTAGGGGTCAAAAGACAAGTCGTCGTTTACATCCCCCGCCCGCCCCCCCCTCTCTCCATATCTTTTCATATCTGACGTTCAGTTATGGAGCAAAACCTCTTGTGCAGGCTGAGGTCCGCAGGGACAAAACGTTGGGTGTTGGACCTTCAGTATAGGAGTACTAACTAGTTTGGCCTCATCCAGGCTGCCTTTGGCAGTGTGGAACACCATACAGTGTGGGTGGGCCCCTCCCCCTGGTCCCTAAGGTTAAATATAAACAAAAGAAAGAAAACCACTAGAGTGCGCCAAAGTACACAGTTATTGTTGAATCAGTTTTAAATTCTCCTGGAGCTGGAGGCGGGTAGCTCAATTACAATCAGATCAAATTAAGATCAATTCTGTGTGTTTGATGGCGGGCATGGTCTGAACTCAAGGACGGTCCTACTTTGAGACACTAAGGTGGCCCGTTGCCATTGGTGAAGATCAGATGACATCAGATTAGAAAGGTTCAGGCAGGTCAGCGCTTCACGCTGATTCAGCAGTCAAGACCCACACTGGAGAGTCCCTTACCCTGAGTTTATCTCGGGACAAGATGAGAAATCAAGATGCAGGGATTCCTGCAGAAAAGTTACACACACACACACGCACCTACGCATGCACGCGCACACAGCCCTCAGCCCTGTTAGTGGAGACGGAAACATAGGCAGAGATATACAGCTCTCTGAGTGCTATGGGACCCTCGAGGATCACTTCCGCCTGAGCTGCTACTCTGAAACCTTTGTAAAGGTCAAGTAAACAGTTTGTATATTGGCTATCAGCTGTGTGTGTGTGTGTGTGTGTGTGTGTGTGCGCGCGCAGTCGTCAGATTGAAGTGGGTCTGTCTCCTCACAAACTCCTGCTTGTATTCTTCTCGGTTGATTGCATAACATAAGTAAGAGAGTGCAGTCTCCCTTGTGCTGCACGGCTACATTACAAGCTGGTATTAAAAATCAAGCGCACATCATCGCTGGCATCATTCTGCAACCGCCGAATTGAACGGGGGGACAAAAGCTCCAAACCGAGCCCTCTTAAAGGAGTCTGCCTCGGCTCTGCTGTCTCTCCCGTGCGTGCAGGACATTGTGCTAATTTCTCTGGGTGTCTGGGTCCCTTTGCTCGTCCCGAGTTCATTATTATAATTGCTATACATGGCTGAGAATGCTGCGAATGTGAACATGAAACCAGGGGGAGCTTTTTCCACGCAATCTATATTCAGGGAAATCCCGAGAATGTTCCCAATCTGAACCTTGAAAAAAACACAAGGGATGGTGTAGCTCTCCTTCTCGTCTCTATTTCAGCATGTGTACGTGTGTGTGTGTGTGTGTGTGTGTGTGTGTGTGTGTGTGCGCACACTTAGATTGGCTCTATTATGTCTTGGAATAATGTAAAACAGCTTCCCTGGGTCTCCCTGTCTCTGTTCCTGTCTCCATCTCTCTGGTTTCCCAGTGTACCTTTGAAATGAAGCCATGGCAGCGGCAGTGGCAGTAGTAGTCTGGCTGAGCGTGCCGGGGGACCCAGCCCGCCTTAGTCCCCAGTCCAAAGACAACGTTGGTGCAGACGGAGCGGCAGACCATGATGACACCGCTAAATGGGCTTTGTACGCGCAACACGCTCGGACAATCTGCTTGTTACAGACAAGATTAAAGGGGACATATCGTGCTCATTCTCAGGTTCATACTTGTGTTTTGGGTTTATAGTAGAACATGTTTACATGCTTTAATGTTCCAAAAAATGCGTTATTTTTCTAATATTGTCAGTCTGAGTATACCTGTTTTCACCCTCTGTCTGAAACGCTCCGTTTTAGCGCCTGTCTCTTTAAGCCCTGCTCCTGAAAAAAAGCTCAGTCTGCTGATTGTCTTGCATGAAACATTTGGTGCACCTTTGCAAAGGTAGTTCTCAAAACGTGGGAGGAGACACCTTATATTCTAATGAACCATGTGACATAGGAAGAGGAGCCAAATCTAATTGGCTTGTTGAAACACATGTTTTCTGATCCAGGCAGCCCACAAAAAAACTGGGTTGTTTTATTTTATAGTTTGTGGGTTGGTAGGAACTCCAGATACCCAAATGCTTGTGCACACTGAAAAGTGAGTTTTTCATGATGTGTCCCCTTTAAACAAGTGATGTGACGTTCTTGGAGAACTAAGACTGTGCTCAGTGGTGGACCTTCATATCTAAATGGGAATCGGCAGCAGAAATCTAATCCAGATATCCAGAAAATATGGTTCTCCAAAACAAGTTAAATTACAGTTTTAAAATCTTATTAACACACTTTTCCCTCTTTCAAAAAATAAAAATCTATCAATATGTAAATATTGTAAAATTAAAAACCTGGAGAAAAAGGTGTCTCCTATACTTCTCAGTGTTTGTGCACTGGAGGCTTCAAGTGTCCACATCACACTTAAGTGAGTAAGAAAAAACCCTGATTAGATAGTTGTGAGTTGTCACCAAATCCTGCTCGTACCTACACGTCTTAAATAGTTTTTAAGCAAAGAAACATAAAAACGTTCCACCTTCAAGCAGATGAATGAGAAAACCGCCTGTTAAACTCCGCTTGAACGTCATTCATTCAAGAAACAAAAAGCAAAACGCACTTTTGAACTAAAGAAAGAAAGTTAACGATTCTGAGACAAAAACGTACGTATGTGCACGTCATGGGCTTCACAGGGGGCTTCAGTAACACACGTTTAAATGGGGTCCTTCAACTAAATAAAGTTGTCCATGGAAATGCCCAATTTAAAATCAGGTTATGGTGTCGCACCGGAGGACATAGTTTTCAGCGGATGAAAAAAAATATTTCTGTTCATTAAAATAACGTGAAAGTGAAAATAACATGTCACGTCAACAACACACGTCATTATATAAGAGAAAGGAAAACACCATTGTTTTTAGTGGAGGAGAGGGGTTTAAATGAAAATAGATAGAGAAGAAGAATTAAGTTACAAAATTCCTATTTTATTCTTAAAATAAACAAAATGTACAATCACAATGCCAATTTCACTCACTGTTGTCAGGTCTGTTTGTCCCTTTAAAAAAAAAAACAACAACAAAAAACTCACTTGATGATCTTTATGAAACGTACCAGCTACTAATGGAGTCTCCATTAATTTCATTTTCCTGACAGTTCATGAGAGAAGAAGCACAACAAAAGACATAAGAAGTAAACTTTACATAAGAGCAGGGTACGGTATGGTTCCTGGACATCATACATGTTGATCATTAAATAATACAAGGTTTGTACGCAACATTTAACCAAAGGAAAGAAAAAGAAGAAGAAGGGATGAACCTTGTTTACTGAAGAAGAAGAAACAAAACACAAACAAAAGCAGATGAGGACAACGTGGGATGTCAGTGCTGCGTTGATGTGTAAACAGTTTTCAAAAGACCATTTCCTGTTCAAAGTTTGGAAAGAAAAAAAGCAGATTAAATAAATTCCAACAGATGTGCATAGTTACTATGGAGACACTGAATACATTTGTAACGGGGAAGAAAAGCTATAAAATCACGACAATCTAAAAGCTTTTTATTTGCTCTCTTATGTTACACTGTAACAGCAAAAAAAAAAAAAAGAGAGACTTCGCTTGGGCTGGGGCAGTTGGGGAAATGTAGTGTGACATGTTCAATTCCATTAAGTGAGTTCACAACATCCTCTGCAGAGACTGGAAGAGAGGCACTGCGTGCAAACCTTCAATGAAAAGCTTGAAGTCTTGGACAGGGCCGTGTTTTTCTCAGCTTTTCAAATTGGGTTATTATATTACCTTCATGCACTGAATAGCATACTGTATGAAAGCAAGGCAAACGCTTTCTTTTCAAACAAATACCAACTGCCTTGTGAGATCAGATTCAACTCCAATGTAAAATGGCTTGTTTGGCCAAGTGTTATCCATTGTGTGTGTGTGTGTGTGTGTGACTCCAGTTGCGTTAAATCGGCACTGAGGACCAAAACCACGAGCCCTGCTGGCAGCCCGACGCAAGTGCTGCTAGAAATAAAACAAGAAATAAGTGCTTTATGAAACAAACATACACAAGTCTCCCATATTTTTTGGTTACCAGTTTGCTGCCAGCAGCTGCATCCAATCACTTCTGTTTTATTTTTTGCACTTTTTCCTTTAACTTCAACTCCTAAATAAAAAAAAAGGGAAAATATCAGACCTCCTTTCATACTGGTCCTTTTTAGATTGTGACACTGGTGAGTGTGGATGATACACATCTATCAGGAAAACCATGTCGGCAAAAGCAAAAGAATAAAATAAAAGAAGGGGAAATAAATAATTGTGAGAAGGAATGTCACAGTCTCTTTTGTCTTTAGCTGTGATATTTCCTTTCCAGTCTCAGAGACTGAAAGAGAACAAAAAGCAAAAGGAACAAACAAAGAAAGTACCCGCGTGTGTGTCACACACTAAGACAAACTTTTTCAAAGCCATCTCTTGCACATGATATTGGCATGTTTTCCCGATAACCTTGACAGAGGATTCAGCCGGACTGGATACGGAAAAAAAAAAAAAGATGGAATTTGAGATCATCCAGGGATTATTCCAGTCCTGAGTTGATGTATCGTAAAATAAGTGAACCTTAAAGTCTGACCGGCTGCTTTGGAGCGCACTCGGAGCGCCGACTAGGTGTGTTGACAGAATAATCTTTGGGCTACATGTGTAAACGTACCATTTCTTATTTGGACAATAAAATACACAAATATCTGTGCACATGTCAGACTAGACAAACCAAAGAAATCAAGCTGAATTTCCCTGACGGATAATCATTATTTTTTTTCTCTCTTTCAAGGTATGCTGCCAAGAGGCACAACACCAGTTATTGCTCAATAAATGCCAAATGTGTGTGAACGCCTAGCGAGGACGTCGGGCTCTTGACGTGTGGAGCAGTTGAAGTGAAGGTTACACCAGAAGAAACATGTCGCAATACTCTTTGGATATTACATTTCATATTCGAAACGATTTAAATCTTTGGGTACTACGAAAAAAAAGATTAAACCTCTCACTCTCTTAAATTACCAATCAAAAAAAAAAAAAATCATTTTAACTTAAGTCATATAGATGCATCAAAAATATTCAGATTACACTTCTTTGACTCAAGTTTCAAATACAATACATAATTTATGGCTTTATAAGTTAAAACTAAGAAAACGCCTTAATCTACATCAACGTTTCACCCACAATATACAAGTTAAATTAATTGGTTTAAAGCAAATTTACTGTCCATACCACTGAAGGTAACATATGTGTTACTCTCATCACTTGCTACTCAGTGCCTAACTTGCATCTTGATATTGTCGTAGTACAAAAACATGCTCTGCAAAAAGCCTTATTGAAATACAAACACTATACAAAAGAGGCAGTCTTTTACAAATATTGTTTGAAGCATCCCTTAGCTTGTGGATTATAATAAAACTGAAATAATGTCTCATCCACTTGGGCCTAGTAAACCAGAAATGTCTCTCTCATTATTGCTGTGAGAATGACTCCCTTTGTAGTGTCTTGGTCAAAACACATTCCAGGAAGACAAGTCCGTACGAGTCTGTTTTTCTTCTTCTTTTTATCTCTACCTTAATTTCCAAGTAAAAAGCAGAGATAGCTGATGAGAGCTCAAAAATCCCCTTTTCAATAAAAAAAAAAGAAAAAAAAAAGGTTTTGTGCTTTCAAACCACAACATCAGTTGACTTCCGATCTCCGCCCCGTTGGTTTTCTTCAATATGGCCTCCAGACAGCCTCATCCATACGGCCTCCGGGGTTGAGAACGGTCGGGGAGTTACTGTGGCTCCCGTCGCCGTCCACCCCTCCCTCCGTCTGGCTGGGCAGGTTGGGGTTCACCAGGGAGGTGCCCGTGGAGGCGCTAGTGCAAGGCGGGATCATCCGGGAGGGCGAGCGATCCCCGCCGGGAACCATGGAGAACTGGTACGAGCCGGACGAGGCGCCGTAGTAGAGATAGGGCGTGCTGCTGGTCTGGAAGGGTCCGCTCTGGCTCTGGGCGGAGCCCGGGTAAGGAGGGGGAAGGTAGGTGTGGTAGTGGGCGCTGCCCAGCGACATGGCGGAGGTGACGGGCGGGGTGTAGGTGAAGGTGCCCGGGTAGTGCATCCGAGGGCTGGAGAAGCGGGTCTCCGTGAGAGGGGGGAGGCCCGCGAACTGACGCTCGAACTGACCGGGGAACGGGCTCAGGTCGGAGGAACCTGTTGACACATGAAAACATTCATTTCTTTAGGATTCTCAGTACAGCAGACATCATCATGCAAGCAGGAATAGTTCTTCTTACCAGTTTGTCAGTTTGAAATGTGGCTTTGGACTCTTAAACTATTTAGTAGTTTGTCTTGTAGAGTAATTGAAGTTAACAAATAAGTCCCTTGAGGAATGAAACAGTAGCAAACCGGATTATACGTGATCGAATATTTCAGCCAGATATGTGCATTGACTCATTTAGGCTAATGCTTTTCGAGGGCACAGTTATGGAAAAGCGTTCATCTACAAATATTGTGATATTCATCAACTCGTTTTTTTTCTGTCAACTCACAAGTTTTGATAAAGTTAACAAACGCATCAGTGAAGTCCCGTGCATGCACGTGCTTGTGCATACATGTTTACGCCTCTGCATAGTTATGCTTCCGTGTGTGTGTGTGTGTGTGTTGGTGCATGTGTATCTGCATAACTGTTTATGCATGCAAATGTGTGTGTGGGTGGGTGGGTGGTAGGGTGTGTGTGTGTATGTATATGTGTGTGTGTGAATACTGTACGCACATAAAAAAGCAGTTGGGATGAATCAGGAGCTGCACATGTGGAAACACTTTGAGCAGAAACAGTTTCCATGAGATCCATAATGAGGCAGGGCTGAGCTCTGATGTGGCTCCTCTCCTCGCCTCCCATCGGCTCCAGCGTGTGTGTGTACGTCTGTGTGTCCGTGTGCACGCGCCCGAGCGAGAGAGAGAGAGAGAGAGAGAGCGAGAGAGAGAGAGAGAGAGAGAGAGCTGCTCCATCTCACCCTTCGTTCCTCTCTTCGCTTCATCCCTTAAAAAATACCCAGAAACCACTAACTGGCTGCGGCTAGCTTCGCGCCGGGCACAGAGTTTAAGGAGAATAGGAGGTCCTCCCCCTCTCGCGCTCCCTCCCTCCCTCCCTCCCTCCCTCCCGTCTCCTCTCAGTGGTTTAGTCCAGCCATGGCGCTCTTATCATAAATCACCAGGCGTCTTCTGTGTCACCATGTCTGCTGCGAGAGGACAGGGGGTGGCGGGGAAGAGGAGCGGAGGGGGGAGACGCAGTGTTTATGTGCAGGGAGGAATTGCGAAGCCGGGTTTTGTCGCTAGCGTCAGATAGCATATGCTGCCAATTAGGGCCTTTAAACTTCCTCTTTCCATGAGATGTGTTTTAATCTGACAGGAATAGTAGGTGATTGTTTCCGCTGTGGAGGAGCAGTGTGATCTCAGACATGACTGGCGCTGTTCAATAAAACTCCTGCTTTTAACATTTGGACCTATTTTAGTGCTCAAACGTGCCCTGTGATGATGAGCCAGATCAAACTTTTATTAGTTTAAATGAAACCACAGTGGAACAATGTCTAAATATTTGGAAGGATTGGAAGGATTGTGACACTCTAGAGTTACAAACTCTAGAGTGTCACTTCCGAATTAGGTGTTTTACTTTACTGGTGAACTTTTGCAATCGCTTCTTAGCAACTGTAGCTTTTCCACTACACGAGCCGGGTTGCGTGAAGGTGTACGCGTAGAGGTGTGTGTGGGGGGGGGGGGCATTGCAGAGTTTTCACCAGAGCGTCCATATCAGCTTCAGCTCGTACTTGTCGGTATGTTCTGTGGCTGAATACTGTTACAGAGCAGCCTGGCGAGGTGTCAACATGATCTCCAGAGATCTGAGAGCCTTAGTCACATCACTTAGGGGGGCATTAAGCGCTCGAGGTGTGCAAGCGGGTAAAGGGCGAGTTTCTTTTTTTTCCGGGGGCCTGCGCTCACGTGCACCCGTGTCTCTTTGAGAACAAAGCCTGACGCTTGTGAGATGAAAGCTCAAAGGAAAGACCGAACTAATCAAAGCTGACAAGGCAGCTGGCTGGATTTTAAACCCTCTCTAATGCAGAGTCACACGGCTACGTCGCGTAATCACACACACACACACACACACACACACACACACACACACACACACACAGGAGGGTGTAGTATTTCAGAAGAAGAAAACAGAGGGAAAAAAGGTAAGGTAGAAAAAAAACAACTCACATGGCAGTGAGTCAAACAGGTGTACGGGGGAGAAACTTGTCTGGCGGCATGTAGGGAGTTTAAAGGAACAGAGACAAATTGGAACACAGATGCTGCCGTTATGGCAAACAGACTGAGGCTGAGGCAATTACCCAGAATGCCTTGTGAGAGTAGCGTATTGCCATAAAGACACTTTATTCGTCAGTCACGAGCCTGTTATTATCCCCGGGCCTGTTATTACCCATACTCCTCTGAGATCAAAGGCTTTGAGCGAGGGGGAAAAAAACGGAAACAATCGTTTTTTTCCCCTCCACTGTCATCCACGCCATCCAAAACCGCTCTCTGGAGAAACAGTCGGGCTCTGACTAACATGCCTCATTCGTGAACGAGCCAATAGCAGCTCAGTGCGCTGTATTGGTCTCTGGTTAGTCGTAGCGTGTCGATTTTCTTTTTGTAGTCTCTGTTTATGTTCCTGCTTTTGACAGTGAGTTTTGCGTGCATGTCTGTCGCTCTCACTCCCCCTTCCCCCTCCGTCTATCGCGAAAGAAAAATTAATTATCTGGATTTTTTTGCGGCAGTTCAGGCCGCCCCGATGGGACAATGAGACCGGGTGGTTTCACACAATGGCAGAGTAGTGGTTCTACCTGGCAATCGTCTAGGCACGTCGCTGATGGCGGGCAGACCCGTGCCTCGGCTGGAGGAGAGGGGGGTGGTGGAGTGGACTGAGGGGGACGCCATGGGACTCAGGTAGGACGGGTACGTCTGTTCGTACGACCAGGGAGGAGAGGACTGGGACTGACGAGGGTCTGATGGGGAGAAGGAAAGCGACGGAAGGAGAGGAAGGAGAAAAAAAAAAGCCATACAAAGAGAAAGAAACAGACAGGAAATGAAAGAAAGAATAATTAGCGGTTGCCCATCAGCTGGTTAAAAATGCTCTATTTTTTTGTTTGGGTACCAAATGGACAGTAACATTCACAACAACTGCAGGCAGTATTAGTGTCTCTGTTTCTCTGGGCTTAGGGTTGAGAGGTTAAGTATCAGTTCAGCAACAGCCGCCATAATGACACATCTAATGTTTACCCTCCAAGAGAAGATCTTCCTGTTTGCCTTATAAAACATTGTGCTTGCAGCTGAGGCACAGAAAGCCTTGCTGGCAAACAACCAGGGCGTAAACACACCAGCAGACAACCAGCACACACTTTATTGTGTGTGTCTGCATTGCAACACAATCGTGGAGCATGAAAGTCGGCCGATGTTGCATTGTGTGCAAACGGGACCAAAAATCGAACTCAATAACAGTTCAACTGTATAAAAACATTAATATGCACATCATGTAATGAATTGTGTTCGATAACATCCATTTTAAAATCAGTTGAAGAGGTACATGTGAGAGGGCTGTAGGGCTACTACTCTAATCACAGCTGCACTTAAAGTTCAAGATTCACCTCAAAGTATTTACACTTGCACTCACACGCAATTAATGTCCAATCCGGTATATAATAGTCTCTGCTCGCCACCACAGCGCTACGCTGTTTAACCATCCCTCAAATGATCCACTAAGTAACTGCAAAGCCGTGCCAGACGGTAACTAAGAGCTAAATGACGACCTGGGACGAGCCTCCAGAGGTGTGGGCGATCGGGTAGCAGCCATCCCCAGTCGTGAGAGATGCTGTTACCTTCTAGGAGATTGATATGAGTGACGGCGCAGAGACGTGGACGTTCTGTGGTCCGGTCACGATGTGCACATGGCTCCAGTTGGGGGTTTGATATCTCACCTGACAGTAAGTGTTGCTTAGCTTGTGACTCAGCCTGCTTGCTTATTCGGTGATACCCTTTAGGACACGGCACAGAACATTTGTGGTGCATATTGTGGATGTTTCTACCTCTTCAATGAATGCTATATTTGGATTTACGTGGCAGTTTGGGTGTCAAATATAATTTTATATTTTGTAGTGCTGCAGGGATGATGTATTTCTGGTGGCCTACCCGGAAGTTGGCATCGCACTGGTTCCCTCGTCAAAAAGACGACAGGATTTTTATTGACGAATTTCATATCGTAGAACAAAACGTTACGATCTCTTAAGCTTCTGTCAACCAGAGACCTTATTTCAGGCATCTAACCAAAACCCATTAAAAAAAAAACATTGACTTTGAGACGAGGGAACCGGAAGCGGAAAAAAATGCAGTTCGGCATTTGTTACACAGAACCATCTGAGAAGCTGTTACTTTCAAAATACATGCGGCGATCGGATGAAGCATCGGTCAATCACACTCCTACCAAAGCCAGATGGGAGAAGAGCAAACACATCTTTTCCATCGATCTTTCCGCTTCTTTCAATAAACAAATACTCTCCAGTTCCGATTTAAATGATGCTCTTGCAGCATCTACGCTAACCTCTTTAGGAGCCGCCATTGTTGTTCAGAACAAACAGTCCCCTCTCTGTGACGCCACACACACACACCTAAACCACGAGACATCGTGAGAATCCAGCCGGCAGTCGAGGTAACCTTCCTACAGCGCTCAGTCAAATGTCAATATCGCTAACAGATAATTAAATATGAAAAAATCAAATTGATGTTCAAAGCAATAAAGTGTGTTCCACTGTTGTGTGTCACTTCAGACGTAACTCTTCACATATGTTTATGCCAACTGACTTTTGATCGTATCATAATACTATAATGATGAATAATTATTGTTATTATGTTGAATGATCGCCTAGCCTTAATTAAATGGAGCCAGGCTGAAAGAGAGCAGTAATTATATTAATTGTGGATATAAAAAGGTTTCGTTGTTCAGTACAAGGAAATCATTTGATGGTATGACACCTCTGACAGATGACATACACTTTGAAATATATTTCTGGGGTCAGAGGTCAAGATCAGCTACAGAACAGTAAGATCTGTGACACTTCACGAGGGGCGGCGGCTTGCTGTTATGGTGCTAAAAACACCTAATCTTTTGTGGGTCTGAGGTGAAGGAACCGGCTGCTCACCTGTTATCTGCGTCTGTCCCTGGTTGAAGGAGTTGGGCCCTGTGTTGAGAGGTGGCCGGGGCCCTTGAGTGGGAATGGCCACCCTCACCCTCATCCTCTCAAGCTCACTAAGGCGGTCTGAAAAAAGACCAGCTTTGGGAGGGTCCTCAAGTTTCTGACGATGTCCTGTGGACACACAAAAACAGTGTTTTATTGGGAGGTGTGGTGGAAAAAATGATTATGTTTCATCAAAGTGTTTCTAACTGTTGCATGCGCATGATCTTAACTTGTTTGTTCATCTTGGCGTGCAGTTTGTCAGTTATTCTCGGTAATATAAGTTAATGACTCGGCTCTTCTGGAGCACCATGCCTTGCTTGGTAAACACCGTTTGTGCTCCGACACAAAGATGAAGCAAAAGGGCAGGCTGTTTGAAATGGGATGCTATGTCCCGCTAATTAACAAAGACTTGGGCAATTATCTCGTATTGCCTCGCATGAGAAAAAAAGAAAAGCGAAACGAGCGACGGGGAGATTGAGAAGTTGCTTGTATGATTAGTTTCAACCCGAGGCTTCTTCCTCAGGTAAACACAAGCTCTCACGCCATCAGCTCCATTATCCCTGCAGGGGTCATGACTGGTGCCAAATATATTCCAGCATTTCCTGTATTCTTCTGCCAATACTTTTACACTGTTTGTATCCCTAACGCTAGACCTCTCCAATATGCAAATTCAGCACACGCACATTGCTAACACATAGATCACGCACACAAACAAAGACAACGTGTCACTCGCTCCGGCTGATTCAGCCCTTCTCTATTTCAGCAGCCCTATCAGCCCTGTAGTGGGAACCACAACAAAACATGGCCCGGGGCCCAGGTGTCGACTATAGTTTAGCAAAGGTGGGGTAGAAAGAGAGGCCTGCGCGCACACACACACACACACACACACACACACACACACACACACACACACAGTCACAGTCCTTTCTTTTTCTTTTTTTTAATCCCTGACAGGTCTGTGTCAGTGTGTCTGTCTGGTCTCGCACTAGCTCTCCTGTAAAGGCGGTAAAGTAAATATCAAACAGAGGAGAGTAGAAACTCCCGCTGTGCTTGGCAGAGCTCCAGCTGGCTCAGGGCAGAAACAACGAGCTACTTCAGAATCCAGCCCAACCTGCCTGCTGCCTGGGCGGGAACAAAGGCCTGGCACGACACCTACAGGACTGGGTGGCTGTAGTGGAGGGAGAGGAGATCTTCAGAAACATCACAAAGATCGAAGACCACAGAAAATCCACCGGGGGTCCTTGTGGACTAATAGTCCAACAGTGTACTAACCCCCCCCATGCTGTGGAGCTTTGTCGCATGTCACTTTGGGCTGTGCGATAAGGCTAAAATCTTCTATCCAGATATAGGTCATTTCATTTCTCGATAACGACGTCACGATATAGCAATGTTTTCTGGTAATTCAATAATTAAAGAGTCTATATGAAATAACCACATGGTTCCATGTCATTTTATGTGAATTAAACACTTGACAAATGAAAAGAACGTCCTCATTTAATTTAGAACTTTTGAGCAACATAATCAGATTTTTTGAGAGATTTGTTAGCACGTGCTTGTTATTATCAACTTAGACGACGTAATTGTGTATTGCAATATCTCAATATGATGATTTATCGAAAGATGACAAATTATCATATTGAATTTTTGCCCAGCTCTAATGTCAGCCCAACCGTTTTCTCTCTCTGCAGATTTTTATGTCACTTTCACCATCAAATAAAAGCCAAAAAACGGCCTCATCCGATGTGTATCATGTTTCCCCTGCAACAAGTTCAAAACATAAATATTTTAGTCACAGATATGCTTTCATAAAACCAAGTGACTCCTCAAAATAAATACATTAATTTTGGAATTCTGCTCTGCAACGACGCGAGAGTGGCGGGAGTGGAAATGCAGCCGGTGACAGTCAGATGGACCATGACTATTATTACAATGACGTGACCGGACTGGCATCGTCCAGTTCAAAATAAACAATCTCATCATCCGCTTCTTTACATAGTTGCTTCGGAAGGCAAAAAATATCGGCTACTTGAAAACCCCAGCTCATTGAAGTTTTTCGCTTTATAACATAATTCATGGCCACATTTCATTAATAATATTTCCCCCATCGTTGCTGCGGATAATTTGTGCCTCTAGCTGGCATTCCTCATCTCTCTGTGCAAGCTGTGCCCAGTCAATCATAGCGTTTCCATTTTCGACAGACCAAATTTCTATTCTAAAAAAGCCTCGGGACACAGTGCGGGCTTTGTGCACAGCCCGTCTCCTAGTGATGGGAATAAATAGCAATGGGAGACCGAGGGAGATGAGGGGAGACAGAGGGGGACAGGCACGAGGGGGAGGAGGCACATGGAGAGGAAGAGACCCTGATGACCAGTAAATTAAGAGCACTGGATGGATCCGAAACCAGTCAGGAGGACACAGTGCTGAGCACAGAGCACAGGGAATGGTGAAATAGTTGGAGATGGTTTAGCATTTCGACATCTGTAAGGAAGATCACAAAATACAGGCAGATAAACGATATTTACACGTATATTTAAGGAGATAAAGAAAGTTCTGATCTGTAGGACAAGCCAGCTCTCTGTCACCGGGCCTCTTAATCTTGTCGCAATTTCAGTAGCTCTCAGTTTCCACCCTGGACAGCCATATTGTCAGGAAACCTATGGATGCGACCCAGTTTCAAGGAAACCAGCGTATTTTTTATCCTATAGGAATGCAGCATGTCAACCACCACATTAAGGTCCAATTTACACTCCAAACAGAACGACCTCAAGTCCATTAGTTTAGCCTGCCTTGACAGTAAATACAGTTTTTCATGAGTTAATTACACCTTTTAGACTACAACTGTTGCCAAACACAAGACGTCTCAGCTGTTTTATCGGAACCCAAGCAGGGCGGAGGAATGAGCCGGGGGTATTTAAAGGAGTGGGAAAGGCGGATGATTTCACTGCCGTAGGGAAAGTCCCTGAGATTCCCATCATCCCTGTGAAAACAGCGGAGATTTTCGATAGCGCCTGCCACTTCCCTGCCCAGCCAGCGGCCGGAAACATGGACAGATTCAGACCAGATGTGAGCAGCTTGCACACACACACACACACACACTCACACACACACACACACACACACAGACACACACGTAGAAACCCACACACATACAAGTATGGACGTATGCAAACACACGTCTGCGCAGGCAATCATGCACATTTGCAGACGTGCATCATGCATACACCCTTGCACATGCACATACAGTACAGGCTCACACGTGCACACACATGCACACTTAAAAAAAGATTAATAACGACGAGATAACACCTCTATAGATAGTATCTCTAATCACACAGTTGCACAGTGATCCTAGAATAGTATTATTTCAGCCGTCCCTTAGACATAAGTCCGGATTCAACTCGCCCCTGCTGATCTGATAACAGTTAGTAAGAGCAAGTAGGCAAACAGACTATAAGTCCTCTGTAATTAATGGACGCATTAGATTGGATCTGAGTCTGAGCACAGAGATCTTTGACAAATAGATAGCTGCTCCCTCATGTCCTGGCTGAAAATATTCCTTTAGATACATCCCTTTTTTTGTGAGGTTAGTTAGTTCCAAGGCCTAAAAAGTGTCGGTATGGTAAATATGAAGCTACGGTCAGCAGCCGGCTAGCTTAGCCTAGCATGAAGACCGGCAACAGGGGAGAACAGTTGGCTTGACTCTGTCTAAAGATAATAAAATATATTTCAAACAAGATATTAAGCGTCATAAGTGAGCTTTAGAGGTGCTGGTAGGTTAAGCTTGCTACATTTTTTTGTTACATGATCGAGAAAATCTTTCTAAAATGTCAGTTTATCCTTTAAAGATCCTCCCCCCCCCCCCCAACACATGCAGTTTCAGCTATCACTACAGACACATCACTAGGACATTCTCTTGCCTGCTGCCTGTATAAGTAACACGTGAGGAAAATGCAGAGCGCCAGAAAATTCTGGATAAATGGGATAGTTTATAAATTTGGTGTCACGTCATGCCCTCAAAGCCCTTCAGGCTGGTTTATGATCACTGGGTGAGCTTGGATGAATGTATCTTTGGGGCTGATTCAGAAAAACCCCCATGCTCATGGAGCCTGGGTTGAATCAGCCAGTCTGTGTTTGTGTGTCTGTGTGTGTGTGTGTGTCAGTCATCTCGCAGTGGAACAGCCAGTGAAGCCGATGAATGAATACACTGCCTCCATAATTCACTTTTTTTTTTTTTTATTTGGAGCCCTCACAGTGGCCATGTTGTTTTTGTGAGCGGTCAGAAACAATGAATTATTTCAGGTGGCAATCTGAAACTGGCAGAGCGTGGCTCGAAAGGAAAAGCGCTGAGTGGGTGAGCCAGACGCCCGTCTACCATGGGGGTCTGGTGTAAAGGGAGAGGAGGGAGGGAGGGAGGAGGGAAAGAGATGAGGGGAGACAACACAAATAGAAATGGAAAAAAAAAGAGAAAAGAGGAAGAAGTGAAAAAGAGAGGAGGTGCAGGAGATGAGGCAGCGAGCGAAGGAGAGAAGGAGACGGAGAGAAGGGGGGAGCCAGGCTGTCGTGGAGCGCTGCCAGCCGTCTGTGTGGTCCATGCGTTCCAGCCCGGAGGAAGCAAGCCAGGCAAGGGAAGGGCACACACACACACACTTACGTACACACACAGCCATACACAACAATTCCCAAAGGTGAAACATTTATTGAACACAAAAATACATTATATACACACTTGTACGATATTGTACAAAGTATAAAGAGCGCACACACACACACACACACACACACACACAGACACAGTTTGGCTTGCATGTGCTCCCTCTGCACCTCTCTGCTCATATTAAAGTGCTTTGATTCAAATCCCTCTGAGATTTCTTTTTCTTTTTTTAACTGCAGCTCGGGGCCAACCAACTCCAGGCCCTCTTTCATAATCGTTATCTCTTTTTATTATTCACTTTCTGCCTCCCTTTCTCTCTCTTTATCCCGCTGTCTTCCTCTCTGTCTCTCCCTCTCACTGAATGATTTTGTGTTTCGCGTTGTAAAGGCCTTGGCACCTCTTCAAGGAACTTCATAAGACATTCAACTGACTGACTGCCTCTGGAAAAGCCTGCAGTCTTTTTTTTTCTTCTCTTCTCTCTTTTCCCCCCTCCCTCCCTCCCTCTTTTCATTCCTTTTCCTCCTGATGTTTAGGGTGAGTTTTATTTGTCCGGCTCCCATTGTTAAAAGCTGTTTTGAGTAAGGCAGCAGCAGATAGTTGTGGGTGTGTAACTGTCTGTGAGGGAGAAAAGAGTATTGAGTCTTCTAAAATCCTGTTTAAGTACCTGGATGCTGTAAAAAATATTCTATTCTTTTGGACATGCTGCTTGAGGCAGGCACTGACAATGCATGATAATCCAGAAACATACAAGGCCCACGCATTCCTGTACATAATTCAAAAGGCTGACATAATCGGAATAGTGTGGTACCATGTAATTAGCATATGTGAGGATCTTAGCATTTAGCACTGAGCACAAACGGCTGTTGTCAGAAACAGAGCCGATGCCTTACAGCAGGTAATAATACCCTACAAGCGCATGTCATGGCATGTGTGTGTGACGACACAGTTTGTATGCCTCGTGGTGTCATCATGACAGACATGTTAATGGAATCCACTCACATACTCATGCTGTTTTCAGCCTAGCAGCACTCAAGGTGGCAGTTTTTTTTAAAGAGTTTTAATGGGGCGTCGGCTAGAAACCACTCCTACAAGGTTGTGCAGGTGAGTGGGTGTTTGTCTGAGTGAATTTGAGTGAGTATGGGTGTTAGTGCTTAGTGCTGCATTTAATACAGTGAACCATGCATCCTCCTCCGCTGCCCATCTCACTTGTGGTGTGCCACAAGGCTCAGTTTTAGGTCCACTTTTGTTTTCTGTTTGCATGCTTCCCTTTAAGGGACATTATTCACAAATATAAGATTAAGTTGCCTTTTTATGCAGATGACATCCAGTCGTATGCATCAATAACACATGACCATACAAGCAATAATCTTGTCACACATTAGCTACCCTGGCAAGCTGGATGTCTAACAATATCCTAAACAGCAGTAAATGTAAGTTCAACTTCATGTTGCTCATCCGTAATAACCTTAGGAGTCGTGACATATATCATAACCTCTGGAGTCCTGTTTCCATCCTCGGGTCAAGAGGGTTTTATAGTTCTGCTTTCTTCACTCAAAAATCATATCAAGAATGAGATCATTTTTTTATCTTCCGCCAACCTCGAGGAAAGTTATCCGTTGCTTCTACTTGATCACATGTTTAAGAGTTCCACTGCAGTTGGTCTAAAGTAGGGCAGCAAGGATCTTAACAACATTAAGTCTAACTCCAAAATGCATCTGTCAACCCCTGGCCCCTTGTGAGCTGGACCACAGCCTGCAGGTCCTCTGGCAAGGGCCTCCTGGCTGTGTCTAGGTTCCCAGGTTAGTAACTAGAAGTGGCCGAGCTTTCGCTGGGAGGGCTCCCAGACTTTGGAAGTCTTTGCCGGTGTAACTTAGGCTTGCTACTTCTACGTCAACTTCATTTAAGTCCCTTTGTATGCATTTTTATGCTCATAATTTCCAACCTGCTATTAGCCACGGTCATCTATTGTGATTTATATTTTACTTGAATTGTTCCCTTTTGTCTATATATTATTATTATCTTATCTTTGTTATATTTAGGCATTATCTTATCTCCATTGCTGTATGAAGCACTTCATATCTTGTTTTCAAAGGCCATACGAATAAAGGTGCCATTATTATACAAGTTCCTCTTGTGAATGTATACAGAAGCATATCTGCAAATATTGTGTAGCATACGTGTGTGAGTGTGAGCATGTGTGTGTGTCGCAGGAAGAGTTTGTCTAGGCAGACAGGTTTCCTGGACCACTAATATGGTCTGCAGGCCTTTAAGTAACCAATGCTTCTTCCCCAGACTTGTTAACACCCGACCAAAATCGAACCAAAACACGACCCTGTCCCCAAGCTCAAAACCCCCCAGACCCAGCTGCTTCAAACACCAGAGAGCAGAGACGGGCCTGACCGCCAACCTCCACCGCTGACACACAAGTGACAACACACACACACACACACACATTACTTGCTCTCAGTTATGCACAGTAACCGCTGCAATATGCCACAGCAAGACGCAGTACGTGTGACACGCTATATTTTTTGTCACCTCCTATGTTTGTCTGTCATCAATTAACTATAATGAGAACAGTGGGTTTGGACAGAAAGCCTAGTATATTGTGTTATTACGGCTTGGCTATTATCACTGAGGAAGTTTGTCTCAGCTGACCGCAGCCACCATCAGGAGAAACTGAAAGTAGACAGAACCACCTATAAAAGCATATTGGTTTAAACAGCCACTCCCTGTCCATTAGCTCAAAATGACATTTAATGAGGCCTATTAGCTCTGCCCCGAATCAGCACTGTGGCTACACTAGACTAATGACACGCATTACACATACTCTCTCTGCAAAACTTGTCATTTGGGTCCACACATAAAGGACAGATATACATGCATTTGCAATCATATCTACATGGCCAAAGAGAGACACCTATACATGCCTGTACAGTGCGTTTGAACACACACACGGACACATACATGTGCACACACTCGCTGAGTTGTTGGTGCGGTGGCAAACCACAGGGTAACCAAGAGCTGTCAAGCGATTAAGCACAATGCGAGCCACAGAAACCGAGTTAGCCTCCCGCTAATAACACAGTGGCCAGAAGGACTTGACTAACCACTTACCGTACCCACACATATGCACACACATACACCGTGACCTCTGAGGAAAATCATACCACAGATCTTTAAACTGGGCCTTGCTGATATTCGTCACTCTGACCACGCAATTAATTAGCTAAAGCTCAGCGCCACAGTTCAGAGATATGAGCCACCGTCCATTCGCGGGTGGTCCAACTTTATCCACCCACTGATATTAGATGAGGAACTGCTGGGGAAAGGACATCCCTCAGGAAGGCTCATATGGCTGCCATAAGGCTCATCAAACACGCCGACACAAAATGACCTTCCTGAATCAGACACCCACAACCAGGCAAGCCATTAAGAGGGAGAAAAAAAGACTGCCGAGTCCGACAACATCAGGAACAGTGTAAGAGTGTTGATAAAAGCATAGAGAATGGACACTATTTTTAGCTTTTCAGACTATTTACCAGGCCGTGTTAAAATCTAGTGTTACTGTCAGCTTATTTCCCAGAAACAACACTGTGTTTTTACAGAGTGCCAGTGTGTGTCCGGCTTAAGACAGCCCACTGTTCTTTCTCCGTGTGTCTCTATGTGGACCCCTCCCTATAAGGGGCCCGGTGTAGCACAGGCCTCCTAATTACCCAATAATTTAACACAAAATAGAGCTGTAATGGCCGACAAAGGCCCCCATGTGTCAATGAAGCGTTCACAGATAGAAATCGCAGTTGTGCAGACAGCCGGTGCTCTCAGCTGCGAGTCTTTCTCCGTGCTGGAAACCTGGAGGAGGGGAGGTGCGGTTGAGGGGGCACATGTGTGTTTTGCCACCCTCCGACCTCGGCTTAATGACCCCTGAGAGGGAGACGTGTTCTGGCTGTAGTTTCTGGGTAAATTACACCACCACTGCAATTCTGACCACTTAACAGCAAAGTAAAGAAGTTCAGGGGTTACGTATGATGACATACTCTTTATTGCTTAAATTACTGTCCTGAGACTGAAGCTGGAACATGCAGAATTTAGCTTGTCTCCGACCGCAAATAGAAGAGAAGAACAATGGCCGAAAGTGTAAAGTCTCTTTAAACTGCCAGACTCCTCTCACCGGATCATCAGGTAATACTGCCTTTGTCTAGTCTAAAGACTAGACAAAGGCAGGCCAAATGACCAGGAAGGCTTTCGAGACACAAATCTTAAGACTGCGACTTTGTTGAGAACAAACTGAAGGTTGTACTGAACAAATTCCGCTCCGACTCCCATCTGCTCGCCACCGAATAATGGGACTTGTTTGAAAGTCATCTGACGGGGGACAACAGATGCACAGGAAATGCTTTTGATCAAACAAGATGGCTCGAGAGCGAGGAGGGATGGAGGGGAATAAAGTGGGTGTGATTGCGAGTCCATGTGTGCTCGACGATAAGCATGTGCCTTTGTTTCAGGGTGCGTGTACGGCAGAACGGCGAGCGTTTGAGGCACTTTTTTGGCACCACGGGCAGGTTTCCTACAACGGAGACTGATGGTGGTACTAATCCTACTGTCTGCCGGCTCCTCTGTGTCTCTGTGCGCCCTGGTGCCATATGTGACGGGGCAGTCGGGCGGGCGGGTTGTTTGTGATGTGATATTGTTCATTGAGACGCCTTGAGATGAGAATATGTTTTTTTTTTTATGAATAGGGAGGAGGGTTGGGGAAACAGCTGCATGCCAGACCAGTTGGCACTGAGGGCTATAGTAAAGTTTTTTTTCCCCTCCTCAGTTGTTTTTATATGGCCCATTAAAATGAGCTGATGCTAGCGTTCTGCTACCCAGTGTACCCTCTCAGGATTATTCTGCCTCACTTCTTTTTTTTTTTGTTCTCTCAAACCGTCACATTTGAGGCTGCTTTCTGAGAAGTCGACTTAATTAAATGTCTGTTGATTGCTAATTAAACCCTATCACAAGCTTTTCCAGTAAACCTTTAGTTTGTTTATTAATGAACTGGTTTTATACCCTGTCACCGTTTTAGCTGGGAATTTTCTGCCATTGGCTAAGTGCAGGCACACCCACAGCTTAGTTAAAGGGGCATGCCACCGATTTTCAAGTTTAGCACTCCGGAGGGAGCTTTGTAATGTTGTAGCAGAGTCTAATTGAAGAATGCTATTGAGTTGCATATTGGGAGATGTAGGATCCATTGCTTCCTAATACTAAATCGCTGTACCAGTTAAAAGGCAAATTAAAGGAACAAGTATGTTGTTGGCAGTTTGTGTGTGTGTGTGTGTGTAAACATATTCCCATGCTGTACTGTATGTGCGTGCCTTTGTACTCACTCCTGGGCTCACGCGGTCCATCCACGGTGACCTTTATGGCTCGGTGGTAAGTGGCCACTTGTGGCGGGTTGGTGAATACTGTGATTGTCAGCATGAAGCTCTTGCCTGTGGGGACATCAAACAACATCAAATGAAATGCCATCCGCAGAGACAATGACCTGCATTCATCGCTAAATCATCCCGAAGTCACAAGTGTGGTTGTGATCACATAACAGCAAATGCTAAATCGCCTTTAAGAGCTTTAACGACAGACAACATTTGGCTATTCGAGAGGGTCTATTTTTTCTTTTTTTGGCGGAGCCTGAATGGGATCTCGACTGGAGGAGCTAGTATCTTGTTATCCAGACTCTCTCCCTGTCTAACGCAGGGTGAGTGGGCGAGAGGCATTTTAATAGTCACTTCCCCTCCCGATAATCCCCAGCAGTTGCTGCCTCGGGGTCGAGTGCGTGTGCATACGCTCCCATGTGCACGCTTGAGGAACGGTTGTGAATCAGAGTGCAACAGCCAAGTCAGCAGCAGCGCTAACGTCTGAGGTATGCAGACGCGTCACATAGCCATGGCTACGTGCAGGAAACAGGAAGTGGGGGGGTGGGCAGGTTGCTGCGGCGACTCATTGGAGCAGCTGTCCGCTCGGCAGCAGCCACCTACCCACACTGCATGTCCTCCCCTCTACACGGCAGAGTACAGCAGCTCACTTGTAAACATGCCTCTTCAAAGCGGTGATGAGACGATGTCGGGGAGATAGCAGAGCACAGATGCAACAGGTGTTCCACATACCTGGTCGGGCGTGCATGAGGGTGAATGCCGATAGAGCGTCACCTCTCTGCTTTCCGGCCATAATCGCTGCTGTCATCTGTTTACCTGCGATCTAATTTGGGCTTAATGTCAAGACACTCCTGCACCCCGCTATACTATTAACTCTAATGATGTTATCACAGGTATCTGATTACTCTCTAAATGAACTGCCCCATCTATCCCTGCTGTCATCGCACTGCGGCACCATTTCAGCCCAGCGACTATCAATCCTTGCTCATCTCTGTCGGCTGTCCCCGCCTCTGTGTGCACGACTTTCAGCTATCTGACATCCTATCGGTTCGCTCTGCTTGCACTCATCGCGGGTATTCATTTCAGACACCTCGTAGTCTCATCTCCCCCGGCTCCTATGTCACTTCCTGTGACTAGATTCTGTGTCACATCTGAGGGACGCACACGCGAGGTCTCCGTGGCAACAGGTACCCGCCACCCTGCCTACTCCGCTTTCTATACTTTGTCACCTCCTCATCTCTCCCGATCGCCTCCGCTTCCTCTCCTGTTTGACAGCTACAGCGGAGAAGGAAGCTGAGAAGGAGAGTCACTGGTGGAGCCGCTGACAGCTCTTATCACCATCAACTTATCGTTTCTGTGAGACTTTGTAGACAAGACTCTCAGAAAACCTTTCCAGTGAGTTTGGAGAGGGCACATCCTCGGTGCCAGATCTCAAATCGTTAATCAGACGATTTAGCAAGACGGTAAATGCTGCTAACAGTCGCCTTGGCGATGCCAAATATTCAGGGAATGCTACTGGAGCCAATAGGAGTGTGCCTCTGCCTCGCTGCCTGAGAATATGTACAGAGAGATCAGCTGTGGCGCTGCAGCACCACCCAACATGTTTATGAGCCTGAACTGAGCCGGGTCATGTCAGGTGAACAAGGAAAATAAATAAAGGACTTGTTTGTTATGAGATCAACACTGTCTTATGCAGCTGGACTGATCACACATAATATCTTTGTCCAAAGCTTTGTTTCTTAAACTAAAAGGACAAAGATCACAGGCGGGAAACAGTCGGCTTTATGAAGCTTTTCCGTCTCACCTGGGTTCAAAAACAAATAAATAAAGGGCCCTCGTTTTAAAGCAACACGATTCACCGCTCAGACGTTAAGAGACGGGCGGTGGGATTTGAGCCCGGAGTTAGAGATCATTATGTGGTTGCCACGAGGGGAATGTGACCACTAATCCACACCACTGAACCTAATAGCTCCCGCTGCAGTTGCAGCAGTGTTCCGTGGATGGTTGTGTTTTCGGGGGCTCACCTCTGCCACTGCGGCCCACGAAGCGAAGGTCGTTGAAGCGCGCCACCTGGTTCTTCATCACGCCCGAGGCGTTCCGCAGCTCGGCGGAGTAGTTCTCGTCATTGCCCGCCATGACCGTGACAACGGTCCCGTCAGTTATGTCTCCCAGGGCAACCACCTGTCGGGGGGGGGGGTACAAAGCTCAAAGATCAGAAAATTCCGTAAGACTCAGGTATACTACAACTTATTCTCTTCTTCTGCTCACGGTTAGAGAACATCAGACAACTGATTCCAGAAAAAAAAAGAATAACAGTGAAATCAAACCTCATTCAAATAATTCATCGAGCTAATGTGACAGGCTTGTTTTACACCAAACCATCTTCCTTCGCATCGTGTTGATAAATGGATTTAATTTCACCTCATTTCAGTCCTCTGGTGCAGTCTTTAAAACAAAAGCGGCGATCGGCCTAGTGTTATCATTTAGATTCCTGGATACAGATAAAAGAGTGCGAGGAGGCCCACAGAGCAGCAATAATTACAGAGCCGCAGTAATAAAAAAATGAAATGTGTCACATTTGATTTGGAGCCAGGGCAACAACTACACATTTCCACTGTGATGTGTCTTTGATCCATCCTTTAAATAATATCTGTCAAGTAATTAATAGGGCCTTTCCTGTGAAATATCATGGGAGCGAAAAATTGTCAGAGCTTCAAAAAATGGCCGAGGAGGCCTGAAATGTATAAACAATTAGTCTTTGCTGTGTGGGGAAATACACTGTTTTTCTGACATTGCTTTAACATCAACATGTGGAGACCAATGACAGTAATTTAGTATAATCATAAAAATAGTGGTTATAATAGGCCTTGATGTGGTTTTAACATATAAATAACATGTTGTAATATAGTTTTTTAAAATCATTTTTTAACACAAAAGAAGAATTGCCTTATATAGAAAGATGTAATAAATAACTATGGAAACAAAGCTTTGATTGTGGAATTATTCACTGCGAGGCTATTTTAATGAGCTATAATTATTATACTTTCCTACATTAACTGATTATTGTCAATAACTAAAAAGTAGTTTTTGTTTGTTTACAAAATAAAAAGAGAACACGTGACTCCTTTCCTTCTGTGTTACCAAATCTTTATATATCGTTTATATTTTTTTCTGGCCTTTTAAACACCATGTTTCCTTCATGCTTTTGTATTTTGTAATTAATTTTCGGAATATATTTAGTTTGAGAAAAGATACTTAAAAAGACACACAGATCACATTGCAGCATTCATGCTAAACGATGTAAACAGACTACATTTGTTTGCGATGTATAATAACAATTCACGACATATTTTTTTCAAAAACTGGGAGAAAGTAGAAGGGGATGAAAAAACAAATAATTGATAACAGAATTAAATTAATGTAAGTTGTATAGATTTGTTTTTTAAAAGAAAGATAATGCATTCACGCTTTTCTAAAATGTTGTTTGTCCTCGTGTTGTGCTCGTTTGTCCTACAGCACATTGTGGTTTATCCGCTTTCTTTAATTCAGCAGCACACCGCTGAGACGGGGCCTCACCTTGAAGGCGACAGGCAGCGTCTTGTTGCACCGCCAGTGGGAGGGCAGCACCGAGCAGAGGAAGTTGGGGCTGTCGGTCCGGACCAGCTCGGCCGGGTGGTCGGCGATGATCTCGGCCATGCTGCGGTTTTCGTGGGGACGCAGTCTTGGCACCGCGGCCGCTGCGTCCGGCTGCCCGGCTGGAGAGCTCACGTCGTTCATCTTTCCTGGGACCGGCTGGAGGCTGTTGGACGGCGGACTGAACCTCCGACTGGCGCTGGGATCTAGGGGAATTCGCATCACAACAGCGTTGATTATCAAAAAAAAAAAAAAGAAGGCACCGCAGGCTCTCCAGCTCCTCTCTTCTTTCTTTCTTTCTTTGTTTCTCACACGCTCGGGGAGAAACTCGGGAGTGTGCGCCGCTTTTCCTAATGCCAATGGAAAATGGGACTTCGTGAGCGCACACCGCGTGTCAAAAACCCTCTCCACTTCAAACTTTAGTGGGCGCCTTCAAAACGACAAAATATACTTGTCCGGCAAGAGAGAAACAACCCCTGAAAACGTGATGATGTTTTAAATGACGAGCCCTTTTTCAAACTTCTCGAGAGAAGCGTCCATGCGCCATAACGCAGGCGTAGTTGCTTGTGTGAGGATATAAATAACATCAAATAAATGTCCGAGTGCCTAATGGGCTATACGATTACAAAAAAAAATAAAAATAAAAAATCAGGTCTAAAATGGAACGGTCGACCCAGATGTTCAAAGAAGTTTTTGTCTGTCTTCCTGTAGTGAAAAGTCAAAGCGCTGCTCCAGGTGCGTCATTGAAGTCTTTGTGCCAAACTGAAAGGCTCTCTGAGCGGCCGCAGGCGATGTACACACACACATACACACACCAAAAAGTGTTGAAAGTCAAAGGAAAATGCTTTAACAATACTTTAACAGAGATATTTATAACCCCGCGACGCCTGCAAATTGTGCATATTTTCCGTAAAGTCGCTCGACAGGTTTTGTAAATACGCTTAAAAAAGGTTGATGAAGTTGAAACAAAAAGTCATCGCCGGTGAGATGAAGGAGGCGGAAAATAGAATCCCGTTTTTGTAGCCGTAAATGTGGTTAGCGTTTGGAGGACGGGGTTTCCCGTGCTCAGGCTTTTTGTGGTTTATATAGCTCGAGCGCCCAGCAATTATTGCGCTGATGCGACTCCAACACGTGGTGTCTGGAGTCAGATCCATTCCCTCTGCCATGATCTATCACGCCTATACAGACGACCGGACAGTCTATACCTTCATGAAACACACACGGGGCTTTCTCTCTCTCTCTCGTTATTCACAGATAAGAGTTTCACACACCGACCGCTGTACGTACCATGTTACCGCTCCCCCCGGACCGTCCGCGCGCTCCTGACTCCGGGGATGATCATTTTTCAGTCGGCAACACGCGTCGGTGCATCAGTGTTACCGTGTAGCGTTGCCGCTAAAGTCCCGACAAATTTCGGCACGGGGAAAGGTGCGTTCAGAGAGCCGAGCCCGCGCGACAAGTGAGTTACACTCCTCCATAAGGTAGAGGAGCGAGTGAGTCACCGGAGAGCGGTGAGTCAGGTCGAGGCGCAGGAGTAGAGTTTCAGCCGGTCGCAGGGGAGAGCTGTTGTGCAGGTGTACAGGTATTCTACTACACACGCGCTCTAATTTATGTTCTTCCACCCATGTGGCCGTCTCTTGTAAAGCGAAGGTTCTTTTGAGAAAGTCCGCTGTATACAATGTTAATTAATCTGCTGTCCGCCTCATACAACTTGTACAATTATTAGATATTTACATGTAAACTCTACAGCGCTAAAAGGTGAGCCAATGCGTAATTACGCACAGCTCCCTGACTATTCCAAGGCATAATTCAACATGACAGTGGTGGAAAGTAATTAAGTGCATTCACTTAATTACTTTACTTCATTTGAGGTAGTTGTAATTTCCATTGAGTGCAACTTCCACTACAATTCAAAAAGAACTATGGTACTTTTTTGTTTTTTTAAAACACCGTACCACATTTATTTCATAGTTTTAGTTATTGGAAATACAGATTTTACATTCAAAACCTATGCGTATATCAAAAATGATGCAACTTCCCAGCATTATAAAATAGTTAAAATGAGCGGCTCCTCGACAAACATAAACCATAAAAAGATTCTTACACATCAATGCATAAGACTCCAATAACAACACATATAATAACCCTCACAGAAGCATTTGTACTGCTTTATGAGTACTTATTTATTTATCATGTGATATTTTCAACACAATACTTTCCCAGGGTGTTATGATATACTTAAAAAAGGATTTTAATCTATCACTGCAAATTGAATAATGTAAAAATATTCAGCTTGCAAACTGTACATTTTCTAAACCAAGGCCAAAAACAAATCCCATATTTTGATTAAATCTAAAAAAAAACCCATTAAAGGCATCTTTTTAACAATGCAGGATTAAAACTTCCCACCATAAGGAAAACAAACAAACAAATAAAACAAATAAAAATAATTTCATGCTTTGATTTCATGGCTGAAATGCGTCATATTTTAGTGTGGATGCTGCTCTGAAGGCAGCAACTCAGAAGGCCTGCCCTTCCTGTGTCTACTGTAGAGGGCATCATCTACCCTCTGTGAGCCGGCTCTCATCCCCCCCACCCGACCCACGGCCCTGATTACCCATCACATCTTTTTTGAGTGCCACATCACACAGCAGCATGTGTATTTGCCACTCTGTGTTCCTTTTCCGTTGCTCCCACACAGACTTTTATTGCAGAGAGTCTTAAAGACAAAGGCCTTTGATACTCCGGGGCCTGTTTCAAAATAAAAGGGACTAAAGGAGGCACAGCTGTCTGGTTATTTGGGTCCTGTCAGGGCTTTTGCAGCTTGTTTTTTATGCTGTAAAGTTGGACACAGTCTTATACATTTTATAATAAGGTTTCTGTGTTGAGAGAATAAAAAGCCTAAAGCCTGAGGACTGTAAGTAACTTGAAATAACTTGACTTCTTGTGTTTCATAAGTATGTATGTACGTGGGTGTGCACATGCATACATGTCTGCGAGTGTGTGTGTGTGTGTGTGTGAGGATGTGGGAGGGATATATATATAAAGTCTGAAAGCATTGACATGCATCTGGCACCTCGTCGTGTGGACGGGGAAGGGGAGAGAAAAAAAGAAAGAGTGATTGAGTTACACTTCCCCTCCGTGTGCCCCAAACACCAGAAATATGGTTCACATTGTCCAACATTCTGAACGATCAACTAACTATTCATGGATGGATAAATGTGAATAGTGGTAATTAAATCTGTTATAGTGATAAACATGGCCTTGCAGAAACCGTGGAGCCGGTTTATTCCAACAGAGTTAAGTTTCAGCTCCGATAATATCATTTTTTCACCGCTGAATACATTTGGCGTAATGTGGAAAACATCCTTAATGTTGTAGTGGAATTTAATTTAGGAAATGTCGGGGATGAAATAAAAACAACCTCTGAGTCAATTTCATGCCATCAATTTAATCAGCCTAATTATTTATAACGCATATGTGTTTTATGTTATTTTGACTGTAATTTGAACTGGAATTCAATCTTTTTTTGTACTTTCTTTTTTCCCTAATAGACTCCATAGATGTCACAAGCCAATTTTTCACTCGTTTTCAGGCCAACTAATCAGTCTTAAATTTGGATTTTCTGCACCCTGTTATTGTCCCTTCAGAGACGGCAGCAGGAAGAGCCTCTTGATTTTCCCAGCCTGAACCCAGACCCCAAACGCCCCCCCCTCCCACTGTAGTCGTGACTAAAACACTGACAAGCTCGGCTCATCAAAGACTGTTTGTCCCATCTGACTCCGCTTTGCCTCTCCGCTGCACGTCCAGCATCTGTCTTCCAGCTCCCTATACAGGATACGGCCCGCATTCACACAGCAAGGCCTGCTGTCTGTCTCCATGTCATTCAGAGGTAGGGCGACCTCTGAGTTTCCAAATCGGTCGTTTGAAGTCCCGGAGATGTGAGGGAGACACCAGAGAAGGCGTTAATGTGCCAGAATACGCTGTTCAATCAAGAAAATACCACTTCCTCGCTTCACTGTCCTGGATTTAACCCAGCCACAAATCAACTTTCTGATTAAACGCCAATGCTGTAACTTTTACGCAAGTATTGTACTGGTGTGTTTGACCTATCCCGCTCAGTATTAACAAACTTAATATCATGTAGTAATGAATCAAGCATAAAGCCGTTCACTCGATGCGGCTGCTTGCTCGCCTGGTGCACAGCTGGATCGTCTCTCTCAGCTCTGGTATTATTCATCTACTGTGTTACACTGGCTCAGAGTCATTGCACAGTAGGAGAAGTCACTAACAGTGACGAACCACATTGAGCAGGATGTGCGTTTTATGATTTATGGTAATATTGTATTTCTGCCGCTCAGTTTCAATTATTTGCTTTCAATAAAAATCAAACACGGCTGACGCTCGCTGGCTGATTTTTCCTGTCGAGATATCAAGCGTGTAAGGAAAGTTTCTGTCCTCGTGCCCACTTGGAATGATGGAGAGACTGTGTGAACCGCTAATATGTACGCACACATGCTGTCTTTAATGTTGTCAGCTGCATGCAGAATCTCTTTCTTCCCTAGTCTTTTTTTTTGTTTTTACAACTGTCAACATCTTCACATCTCTGACATACGCAGAGACACAAACAAACACACTCCTAAGAGGCCCATCTGACCTCACTATTGACACCTCATTTAGAGAGGAGGACAAACAAGAGCTAAAACAGTGCATCAATAGTCTGGTGCAACAGTTTAAGCGGGACACACCCGGCTCGATGGGTTCATGCGCGCACTTTTAAATTTGACGATAATAATATATTTGACTATATAATAAAAACACAAGAGAGCAACACTCTTCCTCCGTTCTTCTCCTTTTCACAAGCGCATACTCTCATCATTCAGGAGGAAAAGTACAGCCACTTAAGACTCAGGATAAAGGCTCCATTTCACAGTGGTGCATTTTTCAAGACACTTAATTATAGCTTTCTAGAGGAGGGCAGTGACGAGGCCCAGGCTTTTTCAGCTCTAACGGGATGTTTCCATGTTTGGCGGGCCACCAGAGCAAACCTGCCTGCCAGCTAACCAATCAGCGAGCCCACCAGGCTCGCCAGCAGAGCAGCCAAAGATCCAGTCTATTAGCCCGTCAACCAAACCAACCAAGAGAGCAGAAACGGGGCCACAAAACTTAGTCGCTCACTTAGCTGGACCTGGGCTGGTAGTCGGCC